AGGGATCTAGTTTCAATCTTCTGCACACGGATGTCCAGTTTTCCCAGCACCATTTGTAGAAGAGGCTGCCTTTTCCTTTGTCAAGAATCAAATGGCTATACCTTTTTTTTTTTTTTTTTAGCTATTACCCAGATTTATATTTGTGTCCCAAATATATTTTTCAGCCTTAGAACTCTCACTTTGGCTGTGCTTTTGAGAAGCGCCAACTCTACAGTACAGAGCTGGCTGGGCGCTTGAAGTGAGGACCAGCATTCGTTCAATGCCATGTACCTCCTCAGACCTCAAACTAGCCAAGAGGTCTGTGTTCTATGACATGTGTGATGAACTACAAGGTAAAGGGCCAAGAGAGTCTCTAAGAGGAATGCAGATACTCTCCAGGTCCATTTATACTGCAGTTGCCAAAACCACATATTTTTTATTTATTTATTTTTGTACTGGGAATTGCAGGTACTTTTTAATATCTGAAAAATTGCTGTACAGATGTATGGTTGAAGTTTTGAGCAACCAAAATAAGGAGCTGCTATGGCACAGGTGAGGGCCCTGTCAAGGCCAGTATTTTTTTTTGGTACTGGGAATCGAACTCATGACCTCAGGTTTGCCAGGCAAGCGCTTATGCCACTGAGCTATATCTCTGGCCCAAGGCCAATATGTGGAAAGCCTGTTCCTCAGGTTGTGGCAATCTCAGGAGGTGGGGGAACATTTAGGAGGCAGGGCCTAAGGAAAGAAAATGAGGTCATTGGGGGATAAGGAGGCCCAGGCCCCTCCTCTTCCTCACTCTTTGCTTCCCAGCAGCCATGAGGTGAGAGCTTTCTCTGCCATGCAATCCCACCATAATGTCCTGCCTCACAAGCACCCAGACGCCCTGCATCCAACTTCCAAAACTGTGTGCCAAAATAAGCATTTTCTCTTGTTTTTCTTTTGGGGAAGTGTACCAGGAATCCAACTCAGGATCTCACTCTTGCCAGGCAGGTGCTGTGCCACTGAGCTAAATCCCTGGCCATACATTTTCTCTTCTTAAGTTGATTACCTCAGGTATTTTATTACAGTACTGCAGAGCTAACACTAGACCCATATGCAATAACATATAAATACATAGGGCAGTACCTATGAAACTTTGCTATATGTTACAGTCTCCTGGGGAGCTTTGGCAAATCTAAATGGCCAGACTGTACCCTGTATGTGGGATATGGATCAGAACATATATGGGTAGGAAGCAAGCATTAGTATTTTTTTCTTTTTTGCGGTACCGGGGATCGGACTCACGACCTTGCGCTTGCCAGGCAGGCACTTACACCACTGAGCTATATCCCCAGCCCCAAGCATTAGTATTTTTAAAAGATCCCTAAGTGATTCCAAGTTTCAGCAAAGTGAGGAACTGATGGCAGATGGCAGATGTAATTTCATATGTAAGCAATTTATAGCATATTGCTTAAAATACCCAACCAAACTTACAGAATACTGGGCCGGGGATATAGCTCAGTGGCACAAGCGCCTGCTTGGCAAGCACAAGGTCCTGAGTTTGATTCC